TGTATGTAATTAACCGGAAATAATTTACATGATCAGCTTCGCTTTCATCTTGAAATTAAATTTTTCCACGGCCGAAGATATAAAAATAAAACAGATATTTTAAAATCCTCTCTAATTTTCACCTTATCCCAGAAAAAAAATTCTGCTTGATATCTTGTTCCCACAATAATCATTAATTATCGATAGATAGCTGATGAAAAATGACACCGTAGGTTATAAAAGCGCACAGTGAAGTAATGATAAGATGTCTATTGAATTTAAACATTCCCATTGCTGTCATATAGGAATCAGTTTTAAGCAAACTCATCATATCGCAAAGAGCCATATAACTCAATCTATCAGACTGGTTAAAGTAGATATTTTCTTGGCCTCCGACTTTGGATGCAATAATTATTGCAATCCTATGAAAGCATTCAGGTATTCTTGATGCAAAAATGATCACGGTTAGGATGGAAGCCAGGACACATCCAAATACAATACTCTGAAATGTGAAGTAAATTATATTGTGCTCGTTTGTCTGAAATGCAATAATCAAAATTAGTACAAAAGCTGTGGAAGAAAATGCCAGATATAAAGCTAAGGGTGACAATAATTTATCTGTATCGGATATCAAACGAAATATTTTGCTGAGTTCTAATGCGAATTCTTGCATTTCTTTTGTGGTTACCTTTGGTTGGGTGCAAAGCTTCTGGACTTTCGTTTCGAAATCTAATATCAGATAGCCTAAGTTACAGTACACAAAGGAACATAATACGACACTTAATGCAGGAATAATGAATGTGATACAACAATTACAAAATATTAAAGCTATGGTTAACGCCAACAAACTATTATTGAGTTGAAAACAGCAGTCAAATAAGATAAATCTTGCTTGATCAAGAAAGCATTCTGTGTGTAACATTGAAAATATCACGATGCCAATTGTAAGTCCTGCAATTAAAACAAATACAATGATTGTACCTGCTTTCCAAGCTGCTGTTGGGGATGCCTTCTGTACAGAACAGTCACTCGTTATAGTCTTAAATTCTTTGACTATTGCTTTTCCTTTGAAAATAAAATGCAAACGCATAAGTGAGGCAAATGTTTGGCAAACACAAAATGGTATTATTTTTCTATTGCCAAAACCATTCTTGTAAATAGTGTAAATGTTTATAGCAGCGGTGTAAAGCAATACTACATTGAACAGAAAGTAAAGCAATTTTTCAATCAATTTTATAATTTTCATTTGTCTGTTTTCCGGGTAAGGCACTCCTAGAATAAAAAAGAACTTGAAAACCAGTAAGAAATTATTGTAAAGATCTGAATTATGAGAAGTGATAAAAGATTTAACGTAGCTTCGCTGTTGATTCAGTTTCAGCATTTTTTTGGAAAATTTTTGGAGCATTCAATAAAAAAAATCAGTGTTCTACAACAATCTTGATGATACTAATAACAGTCTTCATGCACTATGCATGCAGTTTCTACTTCAGTAACACATAGGAATATAAATACATGAAAAATCCATTCTATCTCTAACCTTAATTTTTCTACAAACTCTCATTTCATATTTTGAAATGAATCAATTCTCAAGTTCATTTTCTGGAAATAAATTCCAGTTATTGGTTATAAAACTAACAGTTTTGTCTCAGGATCCCAGGATTGGTTGTAACCATTTTTCAGTTCACTTTCAGTTTATTAAAATGTTTAATCATTACTATCTGCATAAAGAATATAGGATTCTATTTTAATGCGTTAAATGCAATTTGTACATTATAAGAAAATCTTTTTAACTGGGAAAAAAGCGTTGTGAAAAAGATCATGGTAAATCGATGGAAAGTAAATATTTGGCAAAAATAATTGACGGAAATAATGACAGTTTGACAGTTTTAAATTTTTTTCTCCTTCTCCTTCTCCATATTTTAATTAGAAGCTATGATTCTGTTGCCTAGATACCTAATGTTTTGTTTCTACAAACATCTGTTAAGTTATAAGTCTTTTTCGAATGAAATAAAAACATAATATTATTAAAAACTGTCATTTCTCTTAGAAAAATAAATAATCTTTCGTGCTCCTTTTTTTAAGACTTTATTTTTTATGTGCATTTAATATTTTTTGCTTTTAGTTAAACAATTGTGTTCATTAATATTTCTCTAAACGTTTTCCTACTGAGTTTCAATTTAATTCCCTGACGAACACATACCCGATACTTTTTAATCTGTATGAAATAAATGTTGTTGCATGATGACTGCAAGAAGACATAAAGAAAATTTGTCGTGAAAGCAATCATGCAAGTCGTTTTGCATGATTGCTTTGAATGTAAATGGTTTCAGTTACTTCAGTTGTTAATAATATGATGAATGTTTCTATACTACTGTAGCGAAGTTAACATAAGTTCACAGTCAAAACTTAGCGTGGTAGGTAAATTTTAGTCAAAGAATATGAAGTCATTCGGTCGCTGTGAAGGTTATTTTCAGAAACCTTTCGAATCCAGAAGGATTCGTTTGACGTTAGAAAGAGACACGGAAAAAAACATTTGGAAGGTTAACGCTTTCAAATAGGTAGTTTTTTTTTTAATTAATTAATTAAGGTACAGTTTCCAATACCAACAAGCGAAACGATAATGGTTTTTAGATCCGAAATGTTCAGTTTTTATTGAAAGAGTATAAATAAATCCACTCATTTACTAAAAACTTATATGCTGAAAACAATTACTTGCTGAATCGTTGAATATAATTAATTTATTAACAGAAAGCGTAATGATATGTTCAAACAGTTCTGATAAAGAGTAACTATAATATTTTTATGTAAGACTGGCCGCTTGATCTTAATGAATCAAGCTGATTGAATTTCATGGATCCAGCAAAGTAATTAATAATAATGGAAAGGCATCTGCGTTTATTGATTTGAAATCACTTAGTTTGTTAATTAATAAGAAAAACAAATTTAAGAAAAATTAAAAATTTTACGTTTTAGCAAAGGGCAATACACTAAAGTACTTTTAATTTAGGCAGAAACAACATTTTCTTTTAAATCGATGAGTTTATTAATTCATTTCGAAAGACAAATGTATTGCGTTTTGTGGAGTGCTAACACACATCTTTTATATCGCTGATTTTCTAATTAAATTCAAAACATAAACATCTTTCTGAGTAAAAGCGCAAAGCTTTTATATCGCTTCGTATAAAATGCGAAATAATACAAAAATAAATTTGAAGTTCAAAATTCGGGCTTCGAAGTGCACATGTTCGGGTGGAAGACTACCTATATTCAAAATTTGATGGCTCTAGGTGCCTTCGTTTTTTCGCAATGCGAAAAACGTACAAACTTACTTACATACATACATATTTTTCATTATTTAATAGCAAACAAAAGAACAGAGTAATTTTAGCCCAAATGGCGTTGTCAAGAAGGGTTATTAGTCTCAAAACAGAATTTTGCGTTGAATCACTTTTCAATTTATTGCCACCAAATATCATTGCCTTGTTTTATATTTAAAGAAATTAAATAATAAAGAATCTGAATGAAGGTATGTATATTTCTCGTATTGTGAAAAAACAGCGGTACCCAGAGTTATTCAAATTTTGAATGGCGTAGCCCTCCACTCAAATATGGCAGCCCGAATTTGGAATTTACTTTATTGCATATTTCATATTTTGTGAAACTTTAACGAATTTTTGATTAAAAAACTCAACGATTTCAAAGAGTACAGTGACAACACTGTAGAGAATAAAACATTTTTTCTCCAAGGAGCCGGACTGCCTATCAGAAATTCTAAACATATGCTGGTTTTAAATATTTTCAGCCCAAATGCTCTTGAAACGTGTGTGTGTGTGTTTACTTTTACAACTGTAAAGAAAATAATGCCTGTTTGGGCGTAATGTAAAATCTGAAAACATTCAGATTTTTTTATGATTGTTTTCAATTTTTTATTTTTTAATTCTTTTATACTTCTTAAATTTAAAATGAATTTTATGGTAAATTCATTTTTAAAGTATTAGATCGTATTTTGAAGTTTTCAAAGCTGCCGTCTTTTATTGCTTTTAAAAGGTAGAAAGAGATTGAGAGCCATATTGACATTCTTTCAGATAATGTGCAGTCTGCTTTGAAAAGCTATAACGTCATTAAAACTCAGAATATTAATTAATAAGGTTTTGACAAATTTTATAGTCTATTTCAAATTTTCATATCAAATGTTTACTTTTAGATCTCTATGGTCAGGATTTCGTTTGAATTATTGTTTTGAGAACATCTTGGTCTGAACTAAAGTCTCACAGACCCTTTATTTATCTCACAGACCCTTGGTCTGAACTAAAATCGCACAGACCCTTTATTGCCATTCTTTTTCTATAATCATTCTTCCCTGCCTTATCACTTAGCATTCTTAAAACTTTTAACATTAGAAATGATTTTCAGTAGGATCTGATGCTGTTACTTCTTCCACAGAACCCCATTTACAATCCTTACCTAACCATTAAAGGTGATTTTATTTTTCAGTTACTCGAAAAACTTTTAAGAAAAGCACTTAATGAAAATACTAAAAATAAAAGCAAAAAAATGCATATACCTTCAAAATCCAAGCCTTGGTTATAACACTGCTTTCTATGTAAGTTAGAAAAAGCGCAGCTAGAACACGTGCCGAATAAAATTGACAATTGCTTTGATTATGTCGGTTGACTCGAAGTGGCGCCTAAATTATCTGGTATAGACATGTCACGTATACTGTTTATCAGGTGATGAACCATTCGTTTTTTTATTGCAGTTTACAAGTAAGTATACAGAAGATATAAAGGTTTTACAGGTAGAATTTGCAATTTTTTAGTGACCTTGCATATTTAATTTTTAATAAAAATATACATAGAAGTATTTCGTTTCCGTAATTGACTAGGAAATTAATAATAATAAAATTCCAATTTCGAGTTAAAACTTTCTATTCGTTATTTCGTAATAATAATGATGACATTTGCAAGTGAAATTTGTTTAAGATTTTTAGGGACATCTTTTCACATATTTGTTTTCATTAGTGCTTATCGACAGTATGAGAAGTGTGTCTCGGAACCAATTCAAACACTGTGCGGTCCTCAAGCCTTGCATATCCTGGACGATTCGATGTCATCACTGAAATCCAGATGCGACACGGTAACACAAGCGTAAGTTGATTTTTACTTTTACAACTGTTTTCAGCAAGTTTCATTATATACATATGGCAAGTTACAGGATTTTTCACCTGCTATTCAATATTACAGGTACACTTGTTAACCATAGGATAGATAATATGTGAAACTAAAACCTTGGGTACAAAATTCATAAATATGGGAATAATGATTCAAATGAAACCATAAGTTCACGGAGAAATAGTAATTACCGCATTAATGTACGACAAAATTTAATTGGCAGTACGGTGAGAATGGTCCTCGTGTATATTCAGAATAAATGACAAACTTGCTGTTTGCGGATATCGCGGTCAAAAGTTATATGTTTGTGTGAAACATAAATAAAAATCTTGAATCTCAGTTTAAAAGCTCGATAGCATTTTTTAAAATTCCTATGCTTGTCCTACTGAGAACTCTTTAGTCGTATTGCACATTTATTAACAGTGTTAGATACTAAGAATAAGTATGAGAATCATGACAATGATATTGGTGAAAAAGAACAATGTTTTTGAAGCAACTAATAGAAGCTTGAAAATTTCACTAACAGGAACAGTAGTGATATTCTAGCTATGATTATATATAAATAAGATTATTCCGAACTTCCAAGATGGAAAACATTGCTTATTCATCAAGGATATAATGATATATCACAAATATATGTTACATTAGCTTGCATATCCTATAAAATAATACACTTCAGTTTACACTCTTTAAATAGGTAATTTAAGTAAATTCTTATACACACACACACACACACACAATATATATATATATATATATATATATAGATATATATTAATATTATTTTATATTTTACCTTGACCAATTGATTAGTATTTTACTGTGTTTTAAATATACTTTATTCGTTTAGCATATAGCTTACTATTTTTATTTTACCTCGTTCAATTGATTTGTTTTTTTACTGCGTTAAAAATTACTTAATTAGTTTAGTATATAGCTTACTTTTTATTAATTTTACTTGTAAATATTCAAATATTGTATTTTTCTCCTCTTTCACACATTTCATAGCAACTAAATATGCTTATGCTGAAGTTTTCACGGAGCCACAGTTTCTGGTAACTTTTTAGCGTGCGTACTAAAATTTATCTTCTAATGTCCTTAATTTTACAGCTCAATGCGCAAAATTTTGACAACATGGGTCTTTTTTCGTTTGTTCTTACAACTTGACTTTAAATTATATATATATGTTGTATGATATTTCTATGATTCAAAAATGAATGTTATTTAAATATGGAAGTACCTTTGACAACAGCTATTGGAAAATGTAGATGTAAAATAATTCTATTAGTAGTATCTACCCGCGCAAACGTCGTTAAGCATATTTGAGGGAAAACTGGGGGAGAGGGGAAGAACCATTAAAACTGCAAGTTTGAAAATCATTTGCGAAAGGAAATTCTTCCGTGAGTCAAAATATATATATACTTGATTTTCGATAATTTTTCAAAGAGTCTGTTAACGTAATTTTTTAGATAAATTTTAAAAAATAGTTCATGGACAATAAATATAGTTCCTTCAATGCTAAACTTTCCTTTCTTTAACTTAGAAGCTTAAGATTTCAGACGATCACCTATTTTTAAGTGCGTTGAACTAATTAAATGTGTTACTTATTTAATTAAAAAATAACGCAACCTGCTTCCATTTCAGATTGAAATCAACTGATAAGATTTGCCCATCGGATGTCTCCATTCAACAAACTCAAGATTATAATCCAAAACCAGCACTGCGGCAATTAGAACAGACTTACAGTCCATTGTCCACATCAGCTTACCTACTGAATACAAGAGCAGCTCCGTATACTACCCCAGCTTGGACACCTCGCACTGTAATTTATCCTCTACCAGTAACAAGACACAGCAGTCGCATTTACAGAAATTCAGCTTGCAGAAACATGTCTTCTATTTTCAAAATGTTTACAACTGTTTTATTCGTAATAATAGCCATCAGCATGTGAAAATTTATTTCATATTATTGACTGCAATAATGTGTATGGTGACAGAAATAAAAGGGTATTGTTTATAAGCTAGATGTGAAAATAAAAAGGCAAACAAAATTATCTCGTAGCTGAGTACCTAAGAAAAAATTATACTCAAAGGGTATGAAACATATTTTCGATAGGAATGTGCTACTAACATATTGCTTTATGGACTTTTCATGATTCGCAGATATATACAGTGCGATTAAAAAATCTGTAAATATTTAAAAATAATCGCATTTCAATGAATTAACACCGTATAATTTTACAGTTAAGAGAGAAAACATTACATAAAATTACACGAAATGTTTTAGGTGCTGCTGCCAGGCGGCAGAGCGACGAAATGTTGTCTAGGTATAGCGGCAATCACGAAACATTCTCTGGGTACGACCGCTCTTATCATTCCATTATATGATTAGAAACTAGTCAACAGCGTGCGTTAATTATATATATTCTATATTATACAGATAAGTTGCGGAAAACAAATTGGTATGTTTGTTTATATCGTAAATCTTTTAATATTTTACTTACAGTCTGAATGTAGTTTCCTAAAAGATGAGTGCTTGAAAGGAGCTTGAAAGGAGAACGATGGATAAAGGAAATAATTGATTCAGGAAGTGATTTTGATGAAGAAAATGAGTATAATTTAGCATTTTGCAAAAGAAGGAAAAACAATACAGCACGTATACTTAGCACTTCAGAATCTAAAGAAAAAGAGGAATTTAAAATACGATTTCCTACTCTTCTGGTATCAAATGGACTTCTAAGAAGTTTAGCCCAAATGTTAATGATTTTATGCCACAACATTCGGGAGCAGTAGAAAGCAATTTAAATCGCTTGCTGAGAATTTTAGATTACTTTTGACTGCGTTTTCTGAATATTTAATTCAATTAATTGTGGGAAAAACAAACTACTTTTAACGACAACTTAAAAGGAATCACGTACAGGTGTCAGAAGGGACGGAATTGAAAGAATTATATTGTTTTATTGCTGCTTCGTTATTAATAACGCGGAACAAAAAGTTAACCTTAAAGGAACATTGATTTAAAAAGTAAGTTTCTCCAAAGCGATATTTCCAGTGAAATTATGAGCAAAGATCGGTACTTTTCATTAATGAAAATGTTTTATTGCTGCTTCGTTAAATGAATGAATATGATGAATAAATATGAATGAATGAATGCCGCAAAGCATTTTTTCGCGGCTTACGCTGCGGCAGATTGCAACTTCTCTTGTGGAAAACTTTCTCGTGCCACGAATGAATAACTGCGACCAGCTCTTTCGTAGCGAAAGAGTTAAAAAATAAATTATTTAAAGGTTTTCAAATGAACTTAATGTTTTATTGTCTAAAATGGGGTTCAATTAAAATAGCAGTAAAATTTACATACGCTTAAATGTTTTTATTCTGAAAAAAGTCTCTTGTATTCTTTTTTTGTCGAAAGGTCGACATTCTTCCACAGAGTGCGACAAACGATGCGTGAACCAATAACGTTATTTAGGTCGCGTTCAATCGAGTCCTATATACACTAAATTCGTCCACATTAGTCCAATATTAGATATCATGACTAGTCTCACAGTTTCATCGCCATTTTCTTCTTTACTTTCCTCTACTGACTCCTATTGAGTTACAGCATCAAGAATGTCATCCTTGGCGAAATGCTATAGTATTTACAGTTCGTAGTCTTCTCCACTCGCATATCTGTTTTCGTTTCTTGCATTTCCTAACGAAGCTTACGTTTCCTAATGAACACCAAAATAACTTCGATGAAATTCTTTGCTGTTACAGCTTTCTTAATTTTACGAAATCAAGATTCAGTTTTTCCAGTATGAATAAGCGTAAGATTTCATTTTCACTTTAGTAATGAAGTTGGCTGCATGAAAAGTCATTTTCTTCAGGTGCCATTCTGAGGAACTGTTGTGGAGAGGATCCGCTATCGGATAATCAGTATCATCCATATTTTAGTTCTATTTGTAATTACCAGATCGCATTCGATCTGTAATAAAAAGCAATTAATACCTTCAAAATCGGTTTTAATTTTCTCAGGATGCTGAATTTCATGTAAGTACGTACAAAGAATTAGTCTCAATGGGAAATTTCAGCACAACTTTCTTTCTGCGTACTCATAATTTAGCAGTGTCCAGTTCTGAAACATCAATCCCCTCTGGTCTTGCATTTTACGAAAAATCTTCCAAACAACCTGTTAAATCAAATTTCTAAATGTCTTCAGATTTCTGACAGTCATTGGTCCTTTTACATATCTCGAATCCACGAAAAATCATTGTAAATACAGCTGATATCTTTTCAAATTTTGAATAAAAAAGCTTTAGCAGTAAATGATAATATATAAATTATTATTCTTGCTTTTAACAAAATGTCAGCTGTTGTATAAGCTTATACCCTAGCAATGCAAGCTTAAAATTACTGTAATCAAAATTTACATAATAAACTTCTTAATTTCTACAGGCATTTTATGCATTTTTACGGTTACTATTTTACCATATATTGCAAATTCATAAAAATCCAAATTTTCTAAGGGTTTATGGACTTTCATATCCCTCTGTACACAGCCTAAAAGCATGAAAGAATTCTGTTAAAAAAAATCGATACTTGCCTAATTAATACAAAAGACGAATCTCAGTGGTCTTTCTATGAATTATTAATTTTATCTGTTATTTTCATAAACATATTTAAGCCGAAATCTGAATCTTGCTGTCTGCAATATTTCAATCGAAGTTCAGTTCAGAAATTCGCGAGTATAAATTATATGCAAATCAGTTTTTTACTAAATGCTGGTAATTTTTTATTACTTATCAAAATGTAAATACTATAAAAATGCGAATTAGGTGTTAACGGACACTCATGTACAAAATTAAGAGAATCTGCATATTACGTCGAATTTTTGAAAAACTAATGGACAATTTTTAACGTAATTTCGTATAAATATACATTTATAACAGAGAAAAAGCATTTAAATAGCTGTCCCGAAAGCGTGTCAGATATACTTCATAGGGGTAACGTCAGGAGATCTGGCTGGCCGATCCATGAGGCGAATATCCTCCTTTTCCAATTAATCGTTGACCAACTCAGCGGTATGTGGACGAACATTGTTGCCTATTAACAGGAATCCAGTACCAACTGCGTCCCTAAAATTCGAACATAGGGCTCAAAGATCCCTGTTCTATATCTCAAAGCAGCCACGAAGCCTTTCCAAACACGTGCAGGGGTGTGAATTGGTCCAATTTAATACCTGCCCAAACCTTTATTCCTCCCCCATCGCAAAGATAATTTTCCCTGATGACGGATGGTATCATGTTCCAGTCTCTCCCCAGGTACAGTGGCAGCGTATAGCTCTCGTGAGAATTGTGAAGCTGTATCTATCCCATGTCGCCGTACGTTGTGGATCTTGATCGAACTTGTCCAGGTCTTCTCGATATAGATCCAGTTTCCTGAAACTTTTTCCACAAATTGCAGTTGCCACTGGGCGTTACATTGAGCTCTGTAGCTATGTTTGCTTTTGATTGGTTTGCCTCAAATGTACCGACAATTCTCTATCACATTTAATCACCTTCGTGGCTACTCATTTTACCTGATACCTTATAAAATTTACCCATCTCTTGTGAAAAAACGCGGGGAAGAAAATTTATATTATTTATAGGTACTCATTAAATAGGTCTGCTTATAAATCATGATGTGCATATAGTGGTTAATTCCACAAGTTTTCCAATTTACTTAATTAATGATAATCAGTTCTTTAATTAATGTTAACCAGTGTTATATGCCCAAAAATCTAGTTTCTTGAATGTACTTTAGAAATGCACATTTGTAGAATTTCTGTGAAAATAATGGAAAATAGATCATAGTGACCACAAGATCAAAATTAATCAACAGACCATGCATCAAATCCCGTCCTTGGATGGTTGTTACAGATTTCGATCATAGATAGCATTCAGCCGAAATACTTACTCATGATGTAGGTACAGCCTGAGAAAAGAGTTAGAGCAAGGGTTCCCAATCTGAGCTATGGTACAATTCGTTTGGATATGTTACCGGCAAAGTTTGAAACCCAGCATTCTATAGAATGCCTAAAACCTAGCCGCCAATGTATGAAACGATTCATATTTCACACATTTCCTAGGCATTCTATAGAATGCCAAATGACAAACCGGCAAAGTATGAAATGCATTTTCGATTCGTTTCGAAGACCCCAGCTACTTACCAGAAGTTAAAAAATGATGTAAAATGGCTGAAATGACTACTAAGAGGGAACCGTGGGACTACTGGCTTCTGAATCACTAGGATATAGTGATTGTGGAAAATAAAATTACATTAATTTATACTGTTAAAGAAAGCGTCAGTACTATACAATATTATTACGTCATGGATGAGTTATTTCCTGTACTTTATGAAAACTCTTTAGGCGTCAAATACTGCACACGGACGACGTGACAGAATGTTGAAAGAACTTTCAACCAAATAAAAAAACTTTGCACGTAATGGTATTGGAACTCTAGAACCACCTATGTGATCCCTACCAGAAAAAACAAAAAGATATTAAAATGGACATTGTTGTGAAACTTATTATTGTTTCTGGATTTAATTTCCGTTGTCAGGTAGATCTTACTGATTCCCTGTCTCAGCCAGACAGAAAATACAAATTTAATATATTGTGTCAAGATAATCTCGCTATACCTTTTTTACATACTTCGAATAACAGTTTTTTTAAATGGTTTTTTTTTTTTTTTTTTTTTTTTTTTTTTTTTCCAAAATAATGTTTGTATTTTTAAGGAATGAACGTCTTTTAAATAATAGCCTTATTCATAAGGTTTTTTTTATACTTTTCCAAAAGAGAATTTGTCATTCTACAGAATGCCTAGGTATTCTATACAACGCCTAGGGAAAGTATGTAATAATTCTCATATTTCATAGTTTGTCTAAAATGGTCCGGCATTATGTACGATGCCTAGGCATTCTATAAAATGCCGGCGTTTCATTACTTTGCCGATAACAGATACATTACTTCATCTTCTATTGTATGGTTGAAAAATTAAAAACAAATTTCAAATTTTAAGGGTAAACCGCA